CTTTGTATTATAGCTGCTCTATTTTAACACGCTTAGCAATTAACTTTGCAAATAGCTATTTAGCTATTAGATTATACTGATACTTAGGGGATCGGCCTCCTATAGCTATATAATATTTCTAATAGAATCCTAGCTAAGGTTACTACTTCTTTAATTGCAATTAGTTCTATTATTGTGCTATTAGTGCTGCTTTCTAATTTGATTTTTTAAGAGAGGATAGATATTAATATAGGCTTCTTAGAGTATACTGCTATCCTGACTCCTATTTAGCTGTTAGTAATAAAGCTATTAGCAAAGATGTTTAGATATTAATCCTTTATTCTAAAATAGTTTTTATATACTTTATTAGAATTATATTAATTAGATTTATAGTTAACTGCTGTTGTGCCCTATAGTAAAGTAACCTATATTAAAATAGTTTCTATATTTATCTCTATCTTTCCTAGCTGTATTTCTATATTATAAAAAGGGAAAGTGAACAATTTTACTCTAAGCTTCTTAACCAGTTTTCTAAGCTATACCTTTAATAAGTTAGTTTCTAGTAATATGTAGAGTCCTATTTAGAATTTGCTAATTTTTAATTTCAGCTAAATATGTAAAAGAGGAAGCGAAGCTTCAACATTAGACGCTTTAATTAAAATTATATAAAAATATTTATTAACTGCTTAAGCTCTTATTCTTTATATAAAATTAAGAATCTTAATTATACTATTATTAATCTTTCCTTTTAAGGACTTAGAGTACTACGCTATAGCTACATAGTCTATTCTTAAAGCTATTATAGCTTAATATAGTTGTTATGCTGACTATAGTCTAATATAGAAAAGGCGTTTAAATTAGTTAGCGCTTTTCTATCCTTTTATTTTAACTTTAGCTAAATAGTTCTTAAACTTTAGTTTAGTATTAAAAATAACTCTTAGGATTCTCTTTTTTATAGAGAGTTTGACAATGTGATTGCCTACCCTTAGTAAAGGATTAGTATTGCTAATCTTTCTATAATTTTGTATAACATATATAAGGATTGTTTTATTGCTTTTAAATATAGCGCTACTGTTGTTTACCTATTAGAGGGCCTTTAGGACCACTTTGTTATTAGTATTAATATGTTCTATTCTATTAATGCTAAAATGGCTTATTAAGTATAATTATTTATAAACCCTATGTTACCTTATTTTCTATTAATTTTCTCCTTTATTAGAAAAGCGTTAAAAAAGATATATAGAATTAAGGCAAGTATTAATCCTTATAGGAGACCAGATTCTATAAGGGTGACTAAACTTGATTCTGTATTGTTAACTAGTATTATAGCTAATTAATCAGTATAGAAACAGTCAACCTATATAACTATATAGGTTAGGATTCCCTTTATATATAGCTAACTAGTAAGCATTTACTAAGGAACGCTATTATATACTCCCTTTATATTAAAGCTAATAAGGGAAAGGACTTTCTTCTGTTGCTATGCCTTAAAGATTTTCTTAATTAAAAGGAGCAATACTTAATTACATAATTATCTTAGCTTAGCGCCAAATTGTATTTTTAAAAAGAGATTAAAAGTCTTAGCTTAATATAATATTCTTTTTATTAATATAAGTTCTATTAGCTTACTTAGAGTAGCTAGAAAAGAGATAGAGCAATATGCTTTTGCTATATAGTAATCAGGTTTCCCTATCTTTTATAATAGTAAGATTTGCGCTATTTTCTATATAGTTAATATATATTCTAATTAATATAATATATTAAAGATATTAATAATTTAATTATTTAAAATAGATTATAAGCGTTTTTATATAATGTTTAGAATACTATTTATATTTAGCGCTTTATATAGGCTGATTTTAGCTATTACTCTAATTACCTTTTTAATAGAGATATCTAGATTGTTTATATATTTTGCATTAGGGTTTAGCGCATTCTCTTTCTAACTTTTAGAAACTAGTAGGAAAAAGCATTAAAGTAGCTTAATTGCTTTAGCTTTGTTACCTTTAAGCTCCACCTTTTAGCTTTTAATATTAATAATTATAATAAAAATGTTACTAAACGCTGATAGTTATAGATTAAGGTACCTAGCTGCTTTCCAAATATTATTTATCTATGCTAGGAAATTGTTTTAGTATAGTTGCTTTTTGTTATAAATGCTTTTATGAAACTAATGCTTAGCTTACCTAGCTTTATAATAACTTTCTTCCTTATCTAGTTCTATAGTTTATAATACATTACTCTAATTTAATTATTAAATATATTTATTATAAAGCTTAGTAAGTTTATTATTCTATTATAATTTCATATATAGGGATTTCTTAACTATTAGGCTATAATTGCAAATATATTAACTTACTGTGTCCTAGATCTCTATAACTGTTTAGTTAAGCTTAGTAGTATTATCAATATTGACAATTAATAGTCTCTATCCTTTAAGTGCTTTAATAGCTATATCCCAGTTTGTCTTTTTAAAGTTATACTTAGCTTCTAGTAGGATAACTGTTTTGACCTCTTTAATTCAAAGTGTTATAGCTTTATAGTCCAATCCGTATTAGGTTAGGTAGATACTGCATTCTGTAACCTAGTCTTCTATTAAGTTAGACATTAGTATAAAGTTAATAGTAGTTCTAAAGCGTCCTTATAGAAATGTAACTGTGCTACTTAGTAATGTTAAAAAGGTATTATATTAATGCATTTATTAAAGCACTAGTTTACCTTTTTTTATATATTATAATTATGGCATATTGACTTCTTCCTATATTAGGTTATAGCAATTGAAGTCGCTTCTTATTATAATAGGGAGGTTTTCTCTATGCTTTGATTTCAATTAAGCCTAGTAGTGACTGCCTCTTCTAGGTCCTATTTAGAGGAGGCATGTCAGCTATAGCCTGGAATATAGATTAACGTAATAAAAATGTATCCTATTAAAGTAGTAATGACCTTTATAGTTATATTTAATAACTATATAGGGAATTAAATAAATAAAACGTCTTTATAAATGTAAAATATTAATTAGAATATATAATACATTAATCCTTTTTAATAAGTAGATAGAGTTACAGTAATCTAGCATTAATATTAGGAAATGTATAATTTGCTATTAATATTTATAATACTTAATTTTATAATTATAATTGCTGTAAATTGGCTAATAGACAGATTGTTAATAAAGCTAAGTTAAACTAGGAATTGTCTATTCACATTTGCTAAGAGGAAACAGGTGTCTCCTATTATATATTACTTATAGTGACTTCCTATCTAATTTGTTAATTAGTAACAGTCTGCTATTCCTTATCTCTATTATAAGTAGCCTAGTTAGTGTATTGTCTTTCTCTTTAGATTCTGCTAATCTTATTGCAATATATAGAACATTCTATATCTATAGCAATATATAGTTTGCTATATACTGCATATTTAAAGGCTATAGCTTTATAGTTATTAGTTTTATAATTCTTTACGCATTTACTATATTTTATTAATTAGCTACACTTAGCCTAATAATAGCTGTATTTATTATAGTTGTAGTATCTTTAAAAGCGTTAAAGTTTCTAGTATTTACTAATTATAGCTATATTTTCATTAATCTTAACCTTTTGTTTAGTAAGAGCTTATTAGGCGTCCTTAGCTGTAGCTAAGTAGACTACTATAGATCTAGCAGGTTTTCCTCCCTTAGATAGCTAGAACGCTTTAATAGCGCCTATAAACTCATTCTTAGCTGTAAATACTATTATAAACTCTAGGCAGATTTTACTAGTGCTAGGTTCTAGGACTGCTATTCTAGGTATATTATTGACTTTAATTAGGAAGCGCTCCTTTTTATAAATTCAGGCTATTTTGAATACTTAATAAACCTATTTATTATTTAATTACAGTTATACTACATCTTTTTCATTTTAAATAATGACCCTTATAGTTCTTGCTTTTATTTGAATTCCTTTAATAGTGATTATATATACTAATAGCTAGAATGTAATTGCTTCCCTAATTTTTTTCTGCTATAGCTCTGCTATTTATAGCCTGCTTACGTTATTTAGCTAGCACTTAGCTAATATCAATTGTAATGCCTAGGAGTTGTTATAGCTTCTCTAAAGAAATTAGTAAAATCAATAGCATTCCCTTGCTTATATAAGGTTAAGTAGCTGATAATAATGGATTAATTAATTTTAATGCTATAGATACATATAAGGTTAATAATGATATTGCTATATTAGGATTAGCTAGGGACAATAGGCTTAACTGTTTAAAAATTGAGAGAACTATTTATCTTTTATTAATGCTAGAGCTAATAGTTCTAATTTTAATATTAAGGATTTTAATATTAGCTTTCAATTTAGTAAATAAGAGTTTAAGTTTCTTTTCAAGTTCTTTATTTTTCTTTATAGTAATATTAAATATTGCTAGCAAAGTGACATTCTCTTAATAGAAAGTCTTATTCTAAGTTTAGAATTGTTTATTCTAAGCTTAGACTTATTTATTCTAAATCTGGAATAGCTTATTCTAAGTCTGGAGTTATTTATTCTAAATCTAAAGTTGCTTAAGCATTTTATTAAATTTACTATTTTAAGCGTTTATTGCTTTTTTAATAAAGCGCTTTATTATATCTTTAACAAAAATAGTATTATTACTTAGGCTAAAAGAACAGATTAGTTGAATTAACCCTTTACTACTCTATATAATATTTCTAACCCTTTTTTAAGCTGCTATAGCAGCAATTAATCCTTTTAGAGACAATGCTAGTACAGTTATAGCAACAGCGTTGCTAGAATGATTGGGCAGCACCCTTTCCCTTAATTAAAATTGACAGGAGTTGGATAGTCCAACTCGTTGAGTCGACTTGTAGATGAAACTGTCAACAAACTGATGAATATCGATAAAAAAAAAATATCGATGTCGTCCTTTTTGTCATGGAGATGTATACTCGTCATGCAGTAGTCATGCAGAAGTGGTAGAGCCACGCAGAAGTGGTAAAATATCCATATATAGTCAAAAAAAAAAAAGGCTTAGTCATCAACTATCCAGCACCATTGGGTTAGTGGTAAACTACGGCCTTGCCATCTTCCGATATTATTACGCAAGTTGGCCGTGCCCCATGTTCGATTCATGGATGGTGCAATCTTTTCTCTTTTCTCTTTCTTTATCCCCGGCTCGTATTCTTGACATTAAGTCTTCTTCGTCTTTGTTTTTCCTCCATTCTATCATCTTATCTATTGTGTCTTATCCAGTAACTTTAATATTCATCCTGTTTCTTTGACATTCGAAAGATTTGAGAGGATTGAGCGGCGGTTTGGTGGGAATACTGTTTATTCATGGATTTGTAGAGGAGTTTTTCTGAATTTTAAGGGGGGGATGAGGGATATGAGGGAAACCATATCCTCTCGGACTGGTGGTAGAGATGAATCAAGAATTCCTCCCACCATCTAGCATACTTTATAGGCGCCGAGTTCCATGAGTGAGTAGACTTTCCTTTCTTTACTCGGGCTTGTGGTTTCGTATACATGGGGGATTATCTTTCAGATCTAAAAAGTGGTATGGAGACGACCCGAAGCGTTTCTAGACTGTAGTTATTTCCTACTTTTCTCAGCGCTATTCTTTCGGTGTGGACGGGTTGGTCGAATAAATGATTTCTTGCTTCGACTTTCGATTGTTTCTTCATGATCTTGTTCTGATGGTGTTCTTGTGCTCCATGCTTGAGATGGTCTCCGAGAAATACAAAGAGATACCAAAGTACGTCTGCAGAAAAAAGGGATTTGGTCGAGGGATGGAATATCAGGACAAACAAGACGAGATGTTAGAATGGAAAAGGATTAATTGGTAGAACCGGTAAATACTATCTATGGCCCATCCCCAGCATCAATGGTAAAGCAATAACCACTATTTTGAGTTAAGGTCACATCCGTGGCACCAAAGGTGATCCGATAGTCCATGGAATAGGTTCCATCAGTACCAGCCGAGAGGCATTCGTACCTGTCATAGAAGCTCTGGACCTCCGGCGGAGTCGCTGTGGTCGCACATGTCTGCAACTGTAGGGTACCATTATAATCATCAGCAAATGAGTCTGTCGAGGCAGCAGTCATTGTGAGACAGAGCCCGGTGGTCATGTGAAAAAAGTAGCCTGATGCACTACCATCCTGAGGACCAGTAAAGGTGAACACATCGGTGAAGATATCGGAGTAGCTAGACTGGAGAATAGATCCAACGCCCGGGCTGCCTGAGAAGCCCCAGTAGACCTCTCCATCATACATGATCCCTGTCAGACCCTGGGGACTGCAGGTTGACGTAGAGCCTTTTTGGATCCAATGATGCATGAAGACTCACGGTTGCGGTAGTTGTAGTTGTGGTCAATGTCGAGGTAGCCGAGACCACGACGGTTGTCGCTTCGAGCGTCTCCGTTGTTGTGACTTCCTCGATTGTGCTAGTCGTACTAGTGGTAGTGATTGAAAGTAATATATGTTCTATACTCGTCGCCGTGGTCGTCACTAATGCTGTGGTCGAAGTTGTCACAGTATTCGTTGGCGCCGGAACCACTATTTGGCATGCAGCGCTCAACAGCACGCTGCTGTAGCTGGCCAAGCTCTGAGGAACTTGAGGTTGCCCCTTGACAATGGATCTCTTGTTAGCAACGGCAGTAGCGCCAAGGGTCACCGTCTCGGTTGCAGTAACGGTATTGACAATCTCGGTGACTGAAGTCGCACTCGTGAATATGCCTGTCTCGGTTGATGTGAAGGTCGTGTCTGTTACAAGCGTCGAGGTTTCCGTGGCAAGAGGTCCAACGGTAGAAGTCACTGTGGCATCTACTGCTTGTGTTGCGGTAACTGTTTCAGTAGGGACTTTGTAGCCTAAGAACACAGAGCAGAAAGCCTGATAGGTTTGGGCTTCGATGATTGATGTTATAGTAGACAGAACAGGAAGAGTCGATGTGCCCGAGGTAGAGCTTGCAGTGCTCGAGGTAGACTTTGCAGTGCTCAAGATAGAGCTTGCAGTGCTCGAGGTAGACCTTGCAGTGCTCAAAATAGAGCGTGCCGCGCTTAAGGTAGAGCTTGCAGTGCTCGAGGTAGACCTTGTAGTGCTCGAAGAGGTGCTCGAACTCGACTTCGGATTGTTAGAGACGGAGCTTGATGAGGAGCTAGAAGTAGACTTTGATGTAGTAGTGCTGAAAGAGAATTTCGGAATAGTACTTGAGACGAAGCTCGAAATAGGCTTCGAAGTAGTAGTGCTCAATGTAATATGCGAGCTCGTAGGTGAGGTGACACTTGAAGTAGAGTGCGAGGTGGTACTTAAAGAAGAGACGAATCTCGAAGTAGGCTTCAAGATAGTCGTGCTCAATGTGGTGTGCGAGCTGGTGGGTGAGTTGACACTCGAAGTAGAGTGTGAGGTGGGACTTGAAGTAGAGCTTGAAGAAGTTGATATAGCAGTCTGACTACTCGATGTACTTGCAAGGCCGAGCGCACATTCGCAGGCGTTCCAAAGACTTTTTGGACCCAGCGCCGGAAGTGGAGACGAGTCTCTAGGACTATCAAACACGTGAGCAAAGCGACAGTATCAAAGATTAACGCTACTTACGCTGCAACATAGAAGCTGCAGAAGGTTTGGTAGTCAACAAAATTTGCCTCCAAGAGTTGGACATTCGCGGCGGCGCAAGGTGTAACGATGGCACCGGGGCTCATAGTAGTAGTAGCGACAGCTTCTGTTGCTGGCGCGGAATCGCCAAGACATACACATGCGCTTTGAAGACTTTGTACGCTGAGTCCATTGATTGGGAAGCGAGTGCGGCCACTTCAGTGTCGTTAGCACGTGAACATATTCATCGAGCTTGGCGGGACTTACTCAGAAAGAAACCAGTCACAAAATGCAAGAGGCATTCCCAAATCATTATTGATATTGGCTATGGCTGCTAGCATCGACTGTGTCGTGCATGCTACGCAGGTTTAACATCAAGAACGGAGAGAACGAGCCGGTTAAGACGTACCATCAGTTCGAGCCTCGATCTCCTGCTGCAAAGGAGATCCATAAGCTGCAATGGCAAGATAGACCAGGAAGGCGAGGAAGTCAGTAAAGGACTTCATATTCGCTTGTGTGCTGGACGAGCACTAAGTGAGGCAAGGGCTCGCATGTTATATAGAACTCCAGAAGCCTGGTTTTCACGAGTGAGGTGTATGGTGCAAAATCAAGTCCGAGTCGCCATTGGGTCTATTTAGACGATATATCAACGGTCATCTATTGGTGAGTTCAGCTCGGATTTCACCAGGACGAATTTGAGGGACAAAATCTAGAATCTCGGCGATAGTAGATGATTGAACCCACGTTGTGAAAGTCTAAGATCACATGAATAAGGGGTCTGATCGAAAGAGCCGCATCTTGGTAGTAAAAATGCCTGTTATAGAATAAAATAGACGAATAAATGGCATACCGTTTTCTCCACATCTCGGACAACACCGAGCCAGCTGAACAACGTGCGTTGAAGTAGTCTTAGACAGGAAGACGTTGACGGTTTGCTCGGAAAGATTCTCGTTAACGAAGGCTAATCACCGAAATTTTGATGACTTTGAAAACGAATCTTGATGAGCTGTCCGACAGTGCTTAAGTGAAAAATACGAGAAGAAGTATAGAGCCGCTGTCGATGATTTCCAGAATCAATGTCAAACTTGCGAACAGACGTGCTACGAGTGATTCACTTTCAGTAAGGTAGATTGTACAATGAAGAGGCAAGGGGAGTTCACGCTCCTGCCCCACACTATTCTCGGAGACAATTACTCCGCCGGGGCATCTTCAACGCTCGTGCCGTCCGAGGGTCGGCCAGACCTACCAATCCGCCATAAGCGATTTTGAACTTCGAACTCTACAGCTTCACCAAAATCAAGTATCTTCAAACGCTCTTTGCGCACGTAGACATAATTGTATCAACTTGATTCTAGCATTTTCAAATAACTTACATCTTACACAGCATCTGTACACATATTGACTTTGAGCTAACCATTATTCAGATAGGAATATTTGATCAGATTTTACTCGTGATATTTCAACGCGTTGTGATAGTTTTTGATTTTGAAGTTCGTCGCCAAGCCTTTAGATATCCAGGGTCTTTAAGGGTCCAGACTTAAAAATACTTAGTAAAATACCCCGGATTTCAAAAGCTCAGCGACGAACTTCAAAAGTGAACACTATCATGACGCGTTGAAATATCACTAGTAAAATCTGATCAAATGTTCCTATCCAAGTATAGATATAACCAGACTGATAGTGATAGGTCTGTATTTATTGAAAGGAGGCAATCAGATGACCTAAAATTGATTGTATTTAGAGTTGTTTCCGATACGCAAACAGTGTCTGAAAATGCTCGATTTCGCTGAAGCTTCAAAAGTTCGAAAAATCGAAGTTCAAAATCGCTTATGGCGGATTGGTAGGTCTGGCCAACCGTCCCTAGTCCTTTGGTGAATTCGCTACGCACGTAACACCTCCACTATGCCCCGAAATGAACACCACTGATAACGAACGATGTAAAACATTAATGATATGGAAAAACATGAGGACGTTACCCGGCAAGCTTAGGTCAGGATAGATAGATCCAATACTTTGCTCTCCAAGTCCTCAAGCCCAAAGACAGTGGCTTGAGTACACTGTCTCAATCCTGCACGTTCGACGTAGTTCTGTTTGTAGGTGCACCTTGCCGCCGCTCAAGAGCAGATGATATACTAGATTGCTTGGTCGTATCTCTACCAGCTAGTTAAAGAGTGTAATAAACGAGCTCAAGACCGTCTGCAAACTTTGGCTAAGCTAGGATTGCAGGCTTTAGCAGGAATAAGGTATAGTGTTTCAACAGCAAAAGCTTGATTTCGCAACCTCTGATATTGGAGTCAAACTCAGGCTGAATACAATTATACCTCACTCAACCAACATAAGCAGAGCTTTCAGCTTCTTTTGCCTGGCGGCAGTAATACTACTGTGTCAATTTCGCTCATGTAATACCAGCTACCTCCTTGATATCGTCCAAAGTCGTGTCAACAACGACGTTGTAGATGTACGATTCATCTTTGACTGCGTTCTTGTTTCCATATAAGCCAACCTTGGGACTCGCGGCGCCGGCCGCACCGCCAGGAAAGAAATTACCAGCCAGC